AAAAATGTATTTGTAAAACAGCTTCTGTCTTGCCAGCATTTGGCTAACCTGAGGCGTTAACCTTTGGACCAACTTGTTTATTTGACTGCCACTCCTGTATGAAACTTGGCACATTGACAGGCATCCATGCAGTATTTAGATTTTATATGGCCATATTATAAAGGTGTCACTTGTCAGCATAACAAGTGAGAACAGCTGTTGTCCTGATGACGGCTCAACTTTAGTGGGTCAAATTAGGTAAGTGTTGAATTTCAGCACAAAAAGGAGCTATATGCAGTTTTCATACCAAAAACCCCTGAAAGTGCACATTATAGTTGTTTTTTGTTGTTTTTTTACTGAATCACTGATAGCAACTTTTTTTTATCTATTTGTACTTGGAAAAGGGTTTTCCTTTTCAGCAAATGTAATACAGCTACCATTCAAATTGGCTTGCATCTAGACAACAATTAATGCCTCAGTGAATATGACCTGCTTACCAGCCATGTGTGGTTTTGCACTGTGGAATAGAAAGTACAATATTTGCTTCTGAGATTAAGTGGAGCAAATGGAAATAATCAAGTAAATTAAAAGTACCTAAAAAAAATTGCTTGCAATGAAATGTGGTTCAGATGTTTTTTTTAGACCCTTGAATGCCCTTTGAGGTGCAGCGCTTGTCTTGAAATGTTCTGCTCCTTAATCCCTGCCGATCAGATCTTCTTAATCATTTATCATAAATGGTCTCACAGGTTTATCCGGCTCCAAGTCATTTCCCGGTGCTGTGTGGAGTTTGCCAAAATGATTCTGCACTTCTGCATACCTGCACATATACCTGTAGTCCTACCTGTATTTAAACAGACTTCCTTGTTAACCTCAACATGTCTGAGTGCTTGTAGTCTCTAACTGGCAGATCCAGTTTGCCTTCACAAAATGTCGTGGGTTCCTGGAAAAAACACATTGTTGATCAATGAAACTCCCTCTAAAAATTCCCCTAACCATTACATTAAGCATGTTATAGTTCCAGTGTCTAGTTCCAAAAATAACTCAGAGCTATACTGTTTGTTCAAGGTTTTCTCTGTCACATTTAGCTTTGTATTTAAGGGTTTTCTGCATCACTTCTAGGTTTGTATTTACATATATATATATGGTACATAC